TCTACTCCCTGAGTTACCTTTTGGACCTGAGACTTCACTTTCCAAATGTTAACTGAAAGGTGCTATTGATATGTTCCTCCCACAATCCTCTGTCTCTGCCTGTTTTCTCTCCTCCACTTTCTCTGTCCCTTTCCCCACTTCTCCCCTCATTCTCTCTTGCTATCCATCATGCTTCTCATGGTTCCACTTACCAAAAACTACAGCTAACGGCAAATCACTTTACCTTCACCCCATTATCTTTATATGAATTTCCTTACCTTCCCATGGCCTCTTTTCTGCAAAATTTCAGCCTAGAGTCAATCCAACAATCGGCTATATCTCCTCATAGATCAGTGTCAGAATGCTGACATACCTTAAGAAAGTCTCACAGTGACAAGAATTGTGACAACAAATTTATAGGGCCCAACAGCAAATGACACTTTTAGATTTACTAAGAATTTTTTTTTACATGTCCCTGAAACATTCTTTTTTGTATTCCCCTCAGTAGCTTATCCAAACTTTTACCACCCTCTTCCCCTCTGCAACCACTTCACAGCCCTTGTTTTGTAAATGAGCAATTCTTGGCCTTCCAGACAACTTTAAAGAAGGACTAAAAATAAGGTACAACTACCCCAACTTTTCACTTCTATATCAAAAGCTTAGTGTTCTCTGCAAGTACTCTCACACTATTTCCTCGAATTTCAGAGCAGAGCTTGTCCTTTCTTGTGCTAAAGGCTAGCCTCTCCTTCTGCCCTCATGACCACACTTCCTTCCTTTCCTCTGAGATAGTACTTATAGTCACTTATTCTCCCATCTGAGAAATTCGCAACCTCACTCTTGCAACTAACTCCTTTCCTAACACTATAAACATGTTTACATTTACCTTATTAAATAGTTTAAAAATCCCTACCCAAGCAGAGAATAAAAATAAAGTCTCTTTTTATATGGAAAAACCTTCTTACTCTTGCCCAATCTCTCTTTTTATCTTCTCACTTAAGTTCCTTGAAAGAATAGTCTATTTCCTCACCCAATTTCAACCTTTCTTTCAGAATTTTGTTATAAAGTTAATACAGACTTAAGGTATTTTATAAAAAATCTTAGACATCATCCTCAGCAAAGTAACACAAGAAGAGAAAACCAAACACCACATGTTCTCACTCATAAGTGGGAGTTGAACAATGAGAGCACATGGACACAGAGAGGGGAACATCACACCCTGGGGCCTGTCGGGGGTTGGGGGCTGGGGGAGGGATAGCATTAGGAGAAATACCTAATGTAAATGATGAGTTGATGGTGCAGCAAACCAACATGGCACATGTATACCTATGTAACAAACCTGCACATTGTGCACATGTACCCCAGAACTTAAAGTATAATAATAGCTAAAAGACTGTTGTATAAAGATTAATAGTAAACAAAACCAACAAAATGTCAGCTATAATCCAACCAGGTGGCTATATCATTGGTATTTTAGCACATTTCCTTCCAGTCTCATCTCTAAACCAGTATGTGTGTGTGTGAGTGTGTGTATGTGTGTGTGTTTTCAGTGTTGGAATTAAATTGCATAGAGAGTTTTTTAGCATACTTTTTTCATTTATCATTATATGATGGGCATTGCTGAATTATAGAACCTCTTCCATAAAAACCTGATTTTGAATGACTGTATCATATTTTAGTGAATAACTGAGCTTTAATTTATATCACTGTGCTTCTATGCCAGGGATATTCAATATTTTGGCTTCTTTGGAAGAAGAAGAATTGTCTCAGGCCACATATAAAATACACTAACACTAATGGTAGCTGGTGAGCAATAAAAATATCATGCATAAGTCTCATAATGTTTTAAGAAAGTTTACGAATTTGTGTTGGGCTATATTCAAAGCCACGCTGGGCTGCATGTGGCCCACAGGCCATGGGTTGGACAAGCTTGTTCTATGCCATTCACTGAACAAACTTCATGAAATCAGGCTTCAACCACAATTGCTTCACTGACTGATGACCTCCTACTTGCCAGATTCAGTGGGTTAATTTAATTCTCCATTTTTCTTGAACTCTCTATGACAGTTAATGATATTATATACTACCCCTTTCCCAAAATCATTTACCTTATCTTTCACACTATCACTTTTTTTTAGAGACAGGGTCTCATTCTGTCTCCCAGGCTAGAGTGCAGTGGTGACATAAAATCACATTAAAAAAAAATCATTGTCATCCAATTGGTCTAGCCAGTTTCCTGGATAAACTTTGCTTGCATTTCTTCTGTACACCCAAGGGTTCTGTCCTTTTCACTTTATTTTTGAACATGTTTCATCCACATCATGATTTCAAATAAGATTTATACATGAAAAGGTCTAAATGTGTAATGGTTTTCTTAAAGACCTGTTTTACAATTCTCATAGGTAAGAAAGCTTTTTCCACTGGTTTATTTTTTGGAGTCTCAAAATGTGTGGGTTATGTACCTTTGAAAAGGATCAAGAAGGGAGCATATAATTGTCATTGAGTCCCAGATGACAGAATCAGCTTTAATAGTTAGGTGAATAAAAACCTGAGGCTCCAATGTAGAGGCAGGATATATACTTCAGTATATTTTACTCATCAAATGGTATTATTTTCAATGGCTAGAAAAATATAGTCAAATTTACATACCAAATCACCAACTTTTCATGATATAGTTTGAAGAAACATTTCTCTTTCTTTTGGCCCTATTCTATAATAAGTTATTGGATTTACAAAATGAAGTTTGTTATAACTACATTGCCACTGAAATACTAAAATGTGCTGAAATCAATCTGCTCTCTCATCTTTGGGGCAGCAGGAAGAAAAGGAGCATGTTATCTAATTTTCCTCCAGGTAGTTTTTATGGTGGATATTAATCGCTTACACACATCTTTCTCAGAGGGAGAAAGGCTCAGTGTTCCACGATGTTGACTTATTCTTCACAATATACACAGATGGAATATTAGAAGCAAAACCATTTCATAGCACAGAATGTTTTACATCATAGGTAAAAATCCCAAGACGACATGTGCTGTTACTAAGATGAGGTTTTTATAACAAAACTGTTCTATGATCTGGTATTTGGTAACAACAGGAGTTCGTTGAGCTGGCTAGGGAACGTTCTTTGGTTCCAGCTTCTGTAAGAGTCAATCTGTCTAACAAAAGTAGCTGATACTGTAGGTTACACTGTAGGTAAGGCAGGAAAGACAAAATCCTCATATTTTATGCAATGACACTTTTAACTTTTATCAACTGGCTTGCCATCTTTTATCTTATTTGATCATTATTTTAAATTTGAGAAACATGTTAAAGTAAGAATTATCTTCTTCACTGAGCGTGTTGAGGAACTGAAGCTTTTATGACTAAACTGACTTGCTAAATTTCAATAAAAACGGAAACTCCATAACTCCTAACCCAAAGAGTAGTCTCCTTTACTGGCATTTTATTTGATTTGGCATTAAATAGCAATTTTAGTTTCCTTTGATTATTCTAATTCACTTCATACACCTCACATGCACTTCTCTCTTAGAGGAAAAGGACAGAAAAAGAGTAAACACAGGAACACATCTTTTTCCCTACTGTGTTTTCTTTCACCCTTTTATTTGCTATGTCTCAACTGTTTCTTTTCTATGACACATAACTCAAAATTTGAGTTCTAAACAATATACTCTGTAACAAAAATATATTCAGTGAACTAAATTGGAAGTACAGTGGAAACAATATGGTGCCATGAAAAATCACTTTCCCACAATTGATCTTAGTTTCCTCCATGAAAACTAAAAATGAAAAAAAAAAATGAGAACAAAAAACCTGTCTCACAGGATTACTGAACAGTGCTACTGCCTACCCATTTGCCCTGGCCAGAAACCTGGGAATATTTCCAGGCATCTTCTTCCCTCCCTGTCCATGTCCCCAAACATACCAAATGTTATTGAGGCTGTTGATTTTATGCTCTGAAAAACTTTGGTATCTATCCTCTCTTCTCCATCTCCACTTAATTTTGACTCTTACCACTTCACTAGAAATACTCTTAATTTACATCCTATTTCCAGTCTTGCCAATTTCAGTTACAGTATACTTGTAGAGAAAGTTACAATGATGGATGCAACAGAAGAATTCTTGGGGCTCCTTTGATTCCCTGAATTTCTACTTTTCTTTGTTTTTTTTTTTTTTCTTTTTCATGAGACAGAGTCTTGCTCTGTCGCCCAGGCTGGAGTGCAGTGGCGCGGCCTCGGCTCACTGCAAGCTCCGCCTCCCAGGTTCACTCCATTCTCCTGCCTCAGGCTCCCGAGTAGCTGGGACTACAGGTGTCTGCCACCACACCTGGCTAATTTTTTTGTATTTTTCGTAGAGACGGGGTTTCACTGTGTTAGCCAGGATGGTCTCGTTCTCCTGCCCTGGTGATCCACCCGCCTCGGCCTCCCAAAGTGCTAGGATTCCAGGCATGAGCCACTGCGCCCAGCCTGAATTTCTACTTTTCAATGCATTCTTGATGTCTTTGCATATGTCAGATGGATGGCCTTAATTAGGCACAGATTGTTTTTCTTAGGCTCCTTAAACACCTACAATGTTTTACTTAGAGGATGTGCCACTATCCATCAGTACCAGAAGGAACCAATAGGAAGTGCAAATGGAGCCTAATATGTTCCAGAAAAGGCAGCCAAACTCACACTGACTAGGGAACTGTATCTACAAGACAGTGAATCTGAAATGTTGAATACCAAATTCGCATACGTTGAGAATTCCCTATAAAGTCCCAGCATTCTCTTATAAAATGTATGTTTTTCCCTCATTGAAAAAGATCCTTTAAGATATGAAGATTCAATCTAATGAAAATTCCTATTGACTGTCAAAGTTAATTTACTAAAAAGTTTTCAAATGAACTTTGAGCTGGAGCCCATTATGCTATTCCCTAAAATGTCCTTTCTGCGGTAAGATTCCAAGAATATCTTAAGTTCAAAGTCTCTTGAAATGTAACTCCCATAAGCTACTAGGAATTTTAAAGTTTAAAAGATTATACTTACACCAAAGTTGGTAGCAGCAAATCGATCTGAAGCAGAAACCTGTACATTTGTTGAAATTGTTGTGTGAGCATAAAAAGCATTGATATTAGCCAGCAAGGTGCTCATGACAGCAGGGACACCAGGGCACATGTATTTAGAAGACAGACATGAAAAGTGCCTGCAAGACAAAAAACATAATGTGCTTTTTAAACAGAAATTAATTAATTCATGCAACAACGGAGCTTCTAACATCAGCAATTAAGTAATTCCACAGCTACATCTATGAAAAGGAGAGAAAACTGCACAATCTCTAATTGAAAGAAAAACAATTTCGGCCTTTTGAAAATTTCTAATTCGCAAATGTAAAGTGGCTTAATTAGAGTGTAATTTGCCCTTTTCGCCCATGGACGCTGCCGAGAAAGCATCGTTAAAGTCTCCCTTGCCACTGTTGTCATGTCGAAGTCAGAGTTTTCGAAAGAGCCTGAACAGCTGCAGAAGCTCTGCATCAGAGGGTTGAGCTTTGAAAAAAAAGTTAATGAGAGTCTGAGGAGTGATGGGGAACACTCACAGGCTGTGTGGTAATGAGACACCCAAACACCCAGCGCTCCGGGGACTTTGGGTTTGTCACATATGCCACTGCGGAGGAGGTGGATGTAGCCATGAACGCAAGGCCACAAAGGAAGAGTTGTGGAAACAAAGAGAGCTGTCTCAAGGGAAGATTCTCAAAGACCAGGTAACCACTTAACTTTGAAAAAGATCTTTGTGGATGGCATTAAAGACGACACTGAGGGACAGCACTCAAGAGATTATTTTGAACAGTACAGGGAAAGTGAAGTGATTGAAATCATAACTGAGACAGGGGCGCGAGAAGGGGTTTTGCTTTTGTAACCTTTGATGACCATGACTCCATAAATAAGGCTGTCATTCAGAAATACCTTACTGTGAATGGCCACAACTGTGAAGTAAGAAAAGCCCTGTCAGAGCAAGAGATGGCTAGTGCCTCACCCAGTCGAAGAGGTCAAAGGGGTCCTAAAAGCTTTGGTGGTGGTCACGGAGGTAGTTTTGGAGGAATAACAACTTTGGTCATGGAGGAAACTTTAGTGGTTGTGTGGCTTTTTTTGCATCTATGGTGGTAGTGGATATGGTGGCAGTGGGAATGACTATCATGGATTTGGTAAGAATGGAAGCAGTTTCAGAAGTAGTGGAAGCTACAACAATTTTGGCAATGATAAGAGTCAATCTTCAAATTTTGGATGAATGAAGGGTGGAAACTTTGGAGGCGGAAGCTCTGGCTCCTGTGGTCATGGAGGCCAATACTTTGCCAACCGGGAAACCAAGGTGGCCATGGTGGTTCCAGTAGCAGCAGTAGCTATGGCAGTGGCAGAAGATCTTAATTAGCAGGAGAAGAAAGCCAGTGAACTGACAAGGAAGCTACAGGTTACAATGCAGTTGTGAATTCAGCCAGGCACATGGTGACAGGGCCTCGCCGCTGTCAGAGAAGATGTATTTTAGACAATGTTCATGTGTATGGGACAAAATCTCAAGGATTATATTTGTGACTAATTGTATAACAGGTTATTTTAGTTTCTGTTTTGTGTAAAGCATTCTAGTGAACGTTTTTAATGCACATTTTTTTGCACCCTCGATGTTGCTTGCTAAATGTAATAGTTTGATCATAATGTGGAATAAATGTGTCTTAAAAAAATAGAACGTAATTTGCCACAGAGAAATGTAAACTCAACTTTGAATATTGCATGTACACACCAAAAGTACAATTTCCAGTGGAATTTAGCACCATCAGAAAGCAACTGTGCAGGAGTCTCCCTACTTCCTCATCCCCGCTTCGACTTATTTTGGTTCCTAAAATGCTATATTTTAACCAAAATGTTCTTTTGCATTTGCATGCCTCTCACAGTTGTAAAGTAGCAAGACACCCTCCTCTCATTATACATTGAATGAATAAGTCAGTTTAATCTATGACTTGAGTCCAGTTTGTATGATTTTTCAGAAAGAAATATCTTCTGTAAGCAATTCTCTTTTCTAAGCACTTTGTTACAGACAAGATTTAATTAGGCAAATGGATGAATAGTGAGAACAGATTGAATAATGCCAGCTTTATGCTTAAAGATCATTTCTTTTAAACCTTGAATAATGGTATCATTTATACCCATCAGAAGCATCAAGGATCCAATTTTGTTATTTCTCTCAAGGAAACCTGTTTCATTTGAACTACAACAAAATACTTGAAAATAGAAAGCACAGCTTATGATAAAAGTGAAAGATAAAATATACATGGAGGAAAGAAAATTTCACTATATATGTTGCTCTCATATCTTACTATGCCACCAAGGAATCTAGACATTTCTGAATTTTGTATTATTGAACACATACATACATAGCTGCCCTGAGTGGCACTCTCCCAAAAAATAAATGATCATCCTGAAAACTGTGGCTTTTCTTAGATCTTAACCAGGCACCTTGCTACCCACTTGTCATAACACTGATGAACAAAAAAGGCTAAATCTTTAAAGGTGCATCTTTAAGAATCACAAATAAAAATTTATGCTATGAGAGTTACATGATTTGTGCAACTTAACCTTGAATTTAGATTATTAATGACTGCTTCTTTAAGGAAATGATAAGTGTTATGACTCTATCATATACTGAATTGATTATAATTAATATTTATTAAGAATTCACAAACAGTATCATTTATTTAACAAAAAAATTAGTTAAAAACAGAAATTAAAAATTCTTAGAGCTCTGCTATCACATTTCTTTTTTTTTTTTCCACACTCCCATGTGTATTGAGGCAAAACAGTCAAGGAATAGAATCAACCTAAGTATCTATCAATAGATGAATGAATAAAGAAAATATGGTTATATACACAAAAGAATACTGTTCAGTCATAAAAAGAAGGAAATCGTGCCATTTTCAACAACATGGATGAACCTGGAGGACATTATGTGAAATAAGTCAGACACAGAAAGACAAATATAGCATGATCTCACTCATATGTACAATCTGAAAAGTTGAAGTCAGAGAAGTAGAGAGTTGAAAGGTGGTTACTAGAGGTTGGAGCAGTTAGCGGGTGCAGGGTTGGGAAGATCCTGGTCAAAGGATATAACATTTTATTTAAATGGGGGGTAAGTCCTAAAGATCTATTTTACAGAATGGTGACTATAGTTAATGATGACATATTGTATTTGTGAAAAATGCTAGGAGAATGGATGTTAAACGTTCTCCCACAAAAATGATAACTATGTGAGATGCGCATATGTTAATCAGCTATATTTAATCATCCCACAGTGTATATGTTCTTCAAGGCATCATATTGTACATGATAAATATGTATAATTTCATCTGTCAGTTTTTAAAAAAACTAAATAAATTTGAAAGAAAGTGACACAATTATTGAACATTGCTCACTACTTAAAAGTCATCTGAGGGAAAAGCAAATGCAATATGGGAAGATTAGAAGTATCAAAAACCACCCTTTCCCTAATTTGAGATGGTTAAGCAAATATCTTGATGATAAAAATACCCTAAGAAACTATGGCTTTTGAATGCCAGAGCAATGTTTCATGACCAAAATGAGAGGTTAATAATTCATAGGTTATATGTGAAAATTTGTATAATTCAGGAAACATCATGTAAATAAGTGCAGTCTTGAGTTATATAGTTTTATACAATCTTTGCTACACATTTATCATTAATGCTAACATGTTGTTCACAGAAAAATTAGAAAACAGTAACATCAAACTTACATTCACACTTTAAACTTCTCTTTTAAAAATAACTGCAATGGATAGTCAGATAGTAATTATAATACATTCATCTATGAAAATTGATTAGAATTAGTATTAGAATTTATTCTAAGAGTTTTCTAGTATTTAACCATTTTTTTTTCCTATTAAAGCCATCTGGTCAGAGTAGTGTTTCTTCATTGGCTATGTACTTACTGTATTCCTGGCACTCTTCTTAATGGTAAGGATCTGGAGTTGATTAAAACATAGTCTTGATGTAATAAAATGCATACTCCCAATTAACAAGCACATACCTCAAATCCTAATTTTGTTGTACAGCGGAAAGTGCAATCACAGAGGCAGCCAAAAGGTTTGGGTGGGCCATGGGGTAGAGGAACAGGCCTGGAGGTGCAGGACAATCCTCCAAAGGCCAAACTGAGTCCCATAGTGGTGAAGAGAGGAGAAGTCAGAGGGAAACACAAGGAATACAGAATGAGAGTTGAGGTAATGATCATGAAAGAGTGAAGAGCTTAGCGTCTCTACAAGTTGGTTCAACAAATATTTACTGAGCACACCTAAATGGCAGAGACTATATTAGCTTTGGATATGCAGGAATGAATCTGCTTATAGACTGCTGGCGGAATCAGTCATGTAATACGTTTAATACAGTTATGCAAAAATATGAAAAAGGCATAGCAGAGTGCTATGAAGACACTGAGTTAGAATGCATATATCACAGTCTGGTGAGGAGGAGCAGGGGAGACGTCTTGAGATTAGGCTGGGCTAACAGTCAATGAATGACTAAGAGATAGCCAAGCCTGACTCAGGGTTTGATATCATTGATGGATAAAGAATGTATTCCAGAGGAATGGAAAAGTACAAATCAAGGCACTATGGAAAGAAATAAAATATTGTATAAAGTTAACTCTAGTAATTTTAGGTTAACAGAGCACAAATTTCCAGGAGAACATTTAGGATTGGCATGGCTAAAGATAAATCTGAAGGGTTTATAGAGAGTCTTGTGTAACATGTTAGATAAATTGGATCTATTCTAGGCATCAAAAGACATTTTTGGACAAAGTTCAAAATGGTACAGAGTAAATATAAGTTAAAAAGCATTAGCAAGGAACTTTAGTTCTTCAACATGTAATGGGAAGTGAAATAATCAGATCTGGATTTTAAATAGGTTAATTTGATAGGAGGAGCATGGAGGAGGATGAGTTTAAGGAAGATGAAAGCAAAGAGTCCAATTAGGAGGCTATGAAGAGAAGAGATGATGGATGTCTTAACTAGTAGTAGTGTGTAGATGGTGATGAGGAAATGGATTTGAGAAATATTCACAGATGAAAAACTGTTAGGACTTAGAATTGATAGAGAGGGATGAGGAAGAGAAAAGGTTAAGTTTCAAGGTTCTAGTTTGAGTGACTACAT